AAAAGGTTTTTGACATAACAGATAAAAAGGTAAGTCCTCTCCAATTATTGCAGTCGTTAAGATTTCCTTTTTTTTTTAAACGGATTTTCACAATTATTCATTTCTTTCATTGTTCTGGGACTGTTTCCTCTTCCCATATCTGGTTAAAGTTCTAGCACTTGTTGGATAGTTGTCTCATCTACTCGTTTTTAACATTTTGTTGGATAGTTGTCTCATCTGCTCCTTTGAACATTTCTACTGTAATGTTATCATCACCCGCTGTCTTATTTGCCAGTGAATGTTTTGGCTTTTTGATTTCCATAACATTAATCTACTCCTCATTGATAGAGAGTGTGGTTCATTTTGCCTCTTCTTCAAATTCTGGTGGATCAGACATGTTCAAACACTCCTTGAAATTTTTCTGCCCATCTTTTCCTCTGCTCAGCATCAGATGTGAGCATTATGCCATCTTTGCTTTTGACTGGTCCACCTCGTGGTATGAATGTTTCAGTTAGTTGTTGAACACAATGACGTGCACAGTAATTTAAGTTTCAACACAAAAAATGCGTCACAACAGGATGATATACAACAGGCCCGCTGCCACCAAGAAGTGCGGTAGGGAAAGAGAGTGGCACTAGGTCCCTGTCCCCAATATTCTAGTGGTGGCTCAAGTGAATGAGGATAGTTTAAATGCACAATAATAATAATAATAATAATAATAATAATAAAGTATTTTAGCTTGCTGACTGTGCCTGCAAAGCACAATTTGAGGAACAAGACCATAGTTCAGAGGTGGACGAACAGCCAGAGCTTCTCACTAGAGTCTACAGCCAGTATATGCGAAGGAAAAGAGCTATCAACCAGCTTTTCTTCCCCACCTGCATTGTTACCTTACATATGATGTCTCATCAACACTTTGTCATACTTTCATCATCATCATCATCATCAAAATGTGACCTGCCGATTAGCGTAGGCTTTCATGCATCACCACAGATCTCGATGATTGTCATCTGGATCATTTCCACCAGTAATATCCCTCTGTGTCCCCGTCAAAGTCCATTGGTCATCATCTCTCTTGGTCTGCCACTCCCTCTTCTACCGTTGATTTTCCCAGTCATCACAGTATTCTCCAAAGCGTCCCCCCTCATCACATGACTAAAGAGTAGTGCCTGTCTTTTCCTTATAGCTGTATATATTGATATTGTTTTCCTCATTAGTTACTCTGGCAGCCCAAGAGATTCTTAACATTTGTCTGAGGAACCACATCTCCATCGGAAAGACCATACTCTACTCAGGAAGAAATGATGGTAAACATACACACGGATTAGCACTAATGCTAACTAAAAAAAAAAGAAGGGGGGGGGGGGGGTGTAATGAAATTTCTGATTGGATGGAGGGCGATAAATGAAATGCAAATAACTGTACTCTTTGAGTCCAGATTCATGAAATCTGCAGTCATACAATGCTATGCACCAAAAGATGATGGAAGTGAGAAGAAGAAAGATGAGTTTTATACCAAGTTAGATGAACTGATAAAGGAAGACCCCAAACATTACCTATTTGTTAGTTATGGGGGAAGAGATAACGTAGGACTTCAACCCATCAAGACTGGTCTTTAACCCAACATTGGGAAACGTGGGATAAGAGATGGGAACAATAATGGAGAAAGGCTGACCGACTTCTGTCATCACCACAGTCTAGTCATTGGTGCAACAGTCTTCATGCATAAAAATATCCACAAGTATTCCTGGATGTCACCTAATGGCAACACGAGGAACCAAATTGACAACATACTGTACCATAAGAAGTGGAGGAATTGTACAATAAGAAGTGGAGGCCCTTGATATAAGATGTATTTGGTAGAAAGAAACCTGATGTCGGAAGCGACCACAACATAGTGGTTTGTAGACTGAAGCTTAAATTAAGAAGAACCAAGAAAAAGACTCTAAGCCCATTATTGATTATTTGATTTAATAACTACCACCTCCATGTTGCAGACACCTTGGTGGTTCTGAGAACTGAAGTGCAATGGTACTGGTTTAAGGGCATCCTTCTGCACATCCAAAAGATATATGCACGTGTCATCCAGCCGTAGACCCATTTCACCAATGTATTTTAAACCTTGAAGATAAAACCAATTAGAATAATCAGCTATTATACTAAGGGAATAATAAATCCATTTTGTTAATGACACAGTGTTATTAAAATTGTCTAATTGTTCATGGTACAATTTCTATCATAATCACAACCTAAATGGAAGCATTACATATATATACTCTAAGAACTCGATTATCACTATAAAACCCAATTGTAACTCTGAGAGATAAAGAGGATACTTTTGAAAAAAAAACACTACTACTACATTGGACGATTTTCAAACCGCCCAGGACTGTTGTGAACGTATATTCTTAGTTGGAGAAAGGTTTTGAATTTTCAGTAAATTTATTACTAAGAAGCATGTCAGTTTGTTTGTTTTAGGGTATAGACTTGTGGACTAAAGGTATGAAGATAGTAGACAATAAAATTGAGAAGCATCATTTTTGGCTAATATGAATAGGTGAGCTAGTTAGTTCTTCTCTTTTTCTTATTCTTCTAAATGAAGCGGAGCTGGACAAGACATTTATCACCGTGACTCACCAGTTCTTCCTGTCATTTGATTTCTTGAGTCTTGCTTTCATTCTATATTTGTTGCCCAACTTTTTTTAACTTTGATACACTCTATTATTTCTTCTTTGCGTTCGGGTTTGTATGCTCAGATCAGACCATCAGGTGGGTTGCCTTTATGAACGCGCATGTCAGCTACAGGTCCTGCATGGTTCCCCATAGCTTGCTCTGCACACTCTGCTCTTGAGGCCAGGTGTCTTTTTGAAGTTGCAGGTAGAGTGGGTAGGTCTGCAGAATGTGCTGAGGTGTTTGAGGTCCTGTTTGACAGGCACACTGGGGGACTGTACAATCTTTATTTTATGCATGTGGTAGTTGAGCCTGCAGTGCCCTGTTCGTAGACAGAAAATTGTTGTATGTTGCTCTCTGTTGAGTCTGCTGATGGGGTCTTGTGGATGTTTACTGTTAGTTTATTCTCTCCACAATCCCTTCTATTTTGCTTTGAAAAGTGTTCTGATTTCTGGTAATGACAATGAATGGGCTGTGTTGTTTCTCCTTTGTTCCATTTTTTGCAAGTCTGTCTGCTAACTCATTTCCTGGTATGCCGCAGTGAGCCGGGATCCACTGGAGAACGATTTGATTGTTTTCTGTGAGTCTGTTTAGCTGACGGGTCAGTTCTCTTTTCATGTTGTCTCGTGGATCCCTATGAGTTGCCTGGAGGACTGACATGCAGTCACAAAGGAAAACAATTTTGCTGTTTTTAATTTTTCTTTCCTCGAGCACTTTGGCTGAATCAATAATTGCTTGCTGCTCTGCTCTGAAGTTTGTTGAGAGTCTTCTGGAGGCGCATGACGTCTCTACTGTGGTCCTATCTTGCAGCATGATGACCGATCCAGCTTCACCATTTTGTCTGCTCCCTGCAATGATCCATCCGTGTATACCTGTGTCCATTTGGGTTTTGGATAACAGTTGTAGACATGTTCAAGGGTCTTTGCACGCAATACTAGGTCACATTCTTCAGCCTTTCTGTCTATGCCTGGAATTGTTGTTGTGACTGTATATTTAGGATGTAGGTCTATGCTGTATGCCTGAATCATTTTCCATGTTGAAGGATCTTTAGAAAGGATGTCACTGCTTTTTGTGTAGTACAATTTTGATAGATGGTGAAAGCTTTGTCTTTTCAGTCGGTTTTTGGTTATTTGCTATTCTGTGCATGGGGTTGTTGTTCATGCGTTTACATTTTTCTGTTAGGGTAAGCACCTTTTCTTCCCTTTGAAGGCTCAAGCTCTCGAGGCCACAGGCTGCTTCCATCTCATTAATTGGTGTGCTTCTCATACCTCCAGAGATGATTCTGAGACCAGTGTTCTGTATTTTATCCAGTTTGTGTAGGTTTGATTTGGCTGCAGTGGAGTATGCTCCCATGCGATATTCCAGTTTTGGTCGTACGTATCCAATGTATACTTGACTCTATTATTTTATTCCCTTGCCAGGTATTTTCCCACACAAAGCTAATTTCTTGATTCCATAACTTTTTTTTTGCATGCGCAAAAAATGTCATGTGTCTTTTCTTAATGGCTTTGATCCATTGTTTTTGGTGACACAGAGGCAGAGATGTACCAAGTTTGAGGGTCACACTCTTTGAGGTCCTTCTTTATCTCTATGTTTTGCATCCTGGATATATACTCATTTATGGATGGAATAAATATCTATAGTCTCCACACTCACAGTAGTTGAACATGCTGAAGATTCATTTTTGCATCTGATGAAACTTCCAAAGATACAGTAAATCTCAAAGATGGAGGTAGACAACCAGCAGTCTTTCACAATCATTTGGAACTCACCTTGCTCAGTTAGTATTTTTTGCTTGCCTACCAAGGTAGAACCAAGCTATCAACATATCCCAGTTTTTCAAGTTAGACAAGAGTGAACAACTAAAATCACTGAACTCAACAACAGCATGAGGAATTTCCATGTTATTAGAAATAAAAAAAGAAAAAAAAAAGTAAAGATCCCTTTTCACGCATTTCGGCGCATCGGGCATATGGGCAGAGCGTCCCATATTTTTACAGACCATCAGCACTCTGTGGATAATGTGGTCAGCATTACGCCGGCTGTCTTTACTTTCCCAGGACAGCCCATCCTGGTACCCATTTTAGGCTGGGTCGACCTGCGACGTCCCATACCACGATCGCGGTATGCTGGCTCACGAGTCGGACTCGCAACGCCTTAGCCACAGAATTATTAGAAATAGTGTATTATTATTTCTTTACAAAACAACAAGAATAGAAACAGAAACTAATTGTTAGTTCATTAAAAAAAAAAAAACTTGAAAAATTACCATTTATCAATCTTGATGATAACTATCTTCTTTAAAACTATCTGTGTTTAATGCTAAAAACATTTTTCTGATATCTCAATAGAACCAGACAATGTTCAGAACAAAAACCAACAATCCTATGACAGAAAGAAACCTGGACAGTTTGCAAAGTGTTTATTTGACTACTTGAACCATGCATCTGAGATACCAAGTATTGCAATCACTGTTGTTGGATGTGAAGATGCAATACAGTCAGTTCATAAAGTGATGGAATCTCGTGGTGTCAGGAAAAAATCCAATGAAGGTAAAACTGAAAATTCACTCTATATTATTATGGTATGTTACAGAATGTTCATTTTAAAGTCTACTAACCTAATTGCTATTTATAATTACATTAGTCAAAAACTTTTTTTCTTACTGACATTCTTTATAATAGTTGTTTGTATTGTTACGGCATCCACAGGGATATGACAGATGTCTGTTCTTTGGTGTTGATGACATTTGAATACACCATGACACTATGAATGAAGGGGAACCGCTGTGGTCTAGTGAATAGATGCTCGCCTGCAGAGCAGAAGTTCCTGGGTTTAGTTCCTGGCGGGGGCTGGACTTTTTTCAGAAATGACCTTTGCACCCAAGTTGACCCGGCCTTGAGTGAGTACCAGGTACAGTCCTGGAAAGAAAATGCGACTGGCATGATGCTGACCACATCACCCACAAAGTGCCATTTGGTCTATAAAAAAATAGGTCTAGTCCTGAATACCCAATACGCCTGAAAGACATGGAAAGACTTTTGTTACTTGTACTATGAATGTAGGTTTGTCTACTAAGATTACTCCCTAACAAGATCACCACACAACAGTCTTGAAGATAGCACCCAAACTCTAGCATGAAAAAAGACAAGTACTATGACGAAATACTATGACAGCTATATGCTCACATCTGGATACCATACAGCCTGTTATCCAAACAAATAGCAGTGTGTCCTTACACACCTGTTACTGTGGGCTTTGCGGGCGCCACTTAAAGCAATTCAATTGAATTCTCTCTCTGATGACTGCTGCCTCCTGAATTCAACTGAAAAATGTCTCATGAATCCTTACAACTGACCGTCTTAAAAGTGCTTTAGAAACAACTTTCCTTTTCAAGAGAATAAAACAGTTATCCTAAGTTAAAATGCATATATCACATGCTTCAGTAGACTAGAACAACTCTTGCATGTTCAGCTTGATCTGCTGACTTCAGTCATCCACATTCCCATGGAAAACACCTTCCATGCAACCCACATTATGTCCACAGTTACCTGTTTCACAAGCTTCATGTGACCTGAATATTTTGTACTAACCTCTGTCAGCTAACTCACAAATATTTATATGCACTCTTGCTTTCAATGACCTCTTGCATGTTACTAATGTGAGTTAACACACAACATAGCCACAGTACTTCATAATCCTGTGACTTAACCATTGGTCAAGATGCACTGTAACCTCTTCCCTAGTGCTGTCTTGTGAGGGTGATCACTTTAGACATGAGTCAGTCAAGTGTGCCACCTATGTATTGAAAGTTAGCTATAATGAGTCTTCAAAACTCATTGTTCTGTGTCTTCATGGCAGAAAAGCTTCTATAGTCCATGTCTTGATGTTAACCCACCAGCTGTAATGTTGTCATACTTCTGTATGCATCCACTCCACTATCAAATCCTTTAGGGAGATAACTGCTGCTTCCAGACTGACTGACTTTCTACCCCACTAGGACATCACACAAGCAATAAACACCCAATGACACAAAGTGCCACCATATGGATGAGGATTGCCGTGGAGAGGTCCCAGAAACCGTGTTCAGACAATTGGCCATATTTATGACCTGCCTATATTGCGGCCCCTGGGTGGGGCTTCAAATAACAAAAAATGTTGTCTTTAAAAGGATGAAACTGGATTATTCCAGAGCACTCACAAGGGTAGCATAATAAGAGGCCACACATGCAGTATTTGTTTCACACTCTAGGAACATCCATCACAAAATCGCTACAGGTAGTCTACACTCTGAATGAGTAGAAAGCATTTAGATGTTGCAGATAGCCTCCATCATCTGGATCTACACACCTGGGTATGAAGGAGTAAATGATAATGAAATAGCTGACCAGCTGGCAAGTAATGCACCATTGCAAACAGGAAGAAGAATGGACAGAGCTGATATCATCAACACTATACAGACCAGATTGGGGTATAATGTTGAATCTCTGATGCTAACACGACTGCTTGACCAAGGAGTTAAGCTTGGTGAAGCACTTCTGTGTTGTCTTCGAGGTAAAGACAGGAGATACTATATAACAAACTCCATCATGTAAAGAGATATTTTGGGTTCTCCTTAGGAACAGCCTTGTCCAAAAAGAAAAGTGATATCCTTTATTTACCTTCTGGTTGTCGCTAGGACACTTAAAATCACAATGCTGAAAGTAAAGGCATGAAGTGGCCACACTATAATCACATTTGATAAAGTAGAGAACGTCCGTCGGGAGTCCCAGAGTGAATAAATGATTTTGTGATGAGTAGCAGCTTTACTCTCAACACTTTACCTCCACCAGAGAAACTGGACTAATATCCCTGTCTTCACCTTTCTCAGCTTCTCAGCATACTTTCAGAGTCTGTTACAATTACGACATGTGAATGCATTTTGTTTTCTAGCCACTGGAGAGCTGCAGTTACCGCCTCCACATCCATTCTCATGCTAGATGTTGTGGTGTCGTATGCCAGGCTGTCTTGCACTAAAGATTTTCTATTGGCTTTCGCTACGAATCCCCAGGCACTTCTCTTTCCTCTCACCACTGAAACATCTGTATATATAATCAGATCACCTGAACGTGAATTGTAGTGAATCAACTGTTGGACTTCATCCTTCGTAGCACCCGCTGTCCACTCTCTGCACTCCCGACCCACTGTGATCCTAATCCTACACAGGTCAGACTTGTCCTCTGATACTCTGACCCACTCCTCTCCTCGTACAATGTTCTCCAGCATGCATACTTGTCTTATTGTATCTTCTGCTTGAGCCATCCATGATTTTCCCCTCTTCAGCCTCTGACCCTTACCTGCAGCTTAAGCTTAAAAAAAAAGGTGTTCTTTGTCTGCAGCTACTCTGAGGTATGACTTAGCCTGCAGCACCTTTAGTCTATCTGCTATAGTCGGCAATGCAAGGATGTATTGCATGCACACAATCGGCATGTCTCTTGTACATCCTAGGATGTATATTAATGATGAATAAAGAGAAGCATATAGAGCCATTAGTTTTTTCTTTATTATGTCTAATTTGAAGGTTGATTCCCTTGTCTACCTGAACCAGGCCTTAAGATGCTGCTGTTTATAGCCTACTGTGAGCTTAAATTGACCAGAATATGAAAGTTTTTTTTTTTTTTAAAATTAATATCATTCTAGAATGTTATTGCATTTGTATCATTGTATCATAAAAAATTTTCTATAACATTTACTGTTTTCCTATTCAGCTGCACTGTGTATGTCCACCCAGACCACACCCTGCAAAAACTAAGCCAAATGTAATAACTATCGGCATTGCGGAAGGTTCAAAATGAACTATTGTCACATGAGTGGATACCATGCATCAGTACGCCAACATTGTAGGGATTCACGTGGATATACTGTCCAGGACATGCTTCAAAGGCAAAAGCTATGGGAACACTTGTGCTACACAAGGGAGATATTTTGAAGACCATATATGAACGACTTTTGGCAGAAGACACAAGATTAGATGAAATTACATGGGCAAGAATGTGTGAACAAGGAATAAAGTGCGGATCTGACAAGGAGGGACGTATGCGAGAAAGAGTCGGCGTGTGGATAATCAGTGTGCTACGGGAACAGTTAGCATCTACACCTTATGTCATTTGCTGCAGGAGATGGAGCATCTATGGGTGTGCCAGGTGTGCTATGTGGTCGATTTTTAAATCAGTAATCAGTAAACCAGCTTTTCCTGCTTTTCCTAGTCTGCCGATCTCCCACACAATGTTGGTTCATACACTTGAATCCTCGGTTTAAGCACTGACTGGTCCTTGTCCCTGACAGGAACTGTAATAATTGAAACAAACACATATGTGTAGTATCTAGACTTGAACAAAATATGCATATTCTAATAAAAACATCTCATCTCTTTTCTCATGTCCACATTATCTCAAGTCTAGTCTAAGGTCTTATTTCTCACACTGACGTCCCACAAGTCCTATTTTCCTTTTCATGTCTTGTCATCATAGTTGAAGTTCTAAGTCTGTTGTCCGTCTTCACTCAGACTTTGAAACTCGCTGACATTGCTTTGATGTGAACATGTGGCCCAGAGTGTGTGCTGAAAACCCTAAAATGTATTGGGCTGCTATCCTGAATATTTTATTTTCACTGACAGTTAAGAATATACTCTCACATGGTTTTTATTTGGGTTCTCAATCCCCCTGGGTAGGTAAACGCATTTTGGTGAGCCCATGGTGTGCTATCAAAATTGTCACCACATGGCTACACATGTAGGCATCATTTTCCCACAGTGCAGGAACATGTTGAAACACAATTTCATTACATTTCATTATAGTCAATGTCATTGTTCAAATCTTTTTTTTTTAATAAAACATGAAAATATACACTGAAAAATAATTTGATAAAAACATACAAGAAAATAAGAGTAGAAAACCAGCTCCCTAACAGAGTTAACCGAATACTCACAGAGAACTATTTCAAGCAGAATGTGTATTAGCTAATTTAGATAATTCAGAAAAAGTAGAGTAAAATAGCTAGACTACCAACAGATAAATAAAAGAGTAAAACTGATATTCAATCATACCTGGGAAAATTCCAGCAATTTGCCAAACACAAAACTCACACAAATAGAATTACTGTTTGCTGTTGATCTGCATTGGTGGCAGGCTGGTCTGCAAACTGAAATAAATTCATACTCCTAGCTATATTAATCTTTCCCCTTCATGAGTAGCTGCTCCTCTTTATCTGTATTAAACTCTATCCTACAGGAGAGGATCTAAGCCACCCCCTGAGGTACCCTCAAACTACAGTTATCCTGCCTTGTCTGTCAATCAGTTCTGATTGCCCTCTCTGATCAAATATTATTAAATGGACCTAATCTAGTTTTACCCAGTGACACTGAAAAGGTGTGGAAAACCAGCCAGCTGGGCTTTCTTATTGGCCAGACTTACGTCCCTTGATCTGGCAGCTTCAGACATGCCCAGTTTTGCCTATTATGTAACATTTATGATACTCTGGTTTCCCCAGGTAGACTGAGTGGGTAATATTATGTAATCTTAGGTCAGGACTAATTTCTTCCTCTGGACTAAGATTGGAAACAATTTTAAATCCCACAAGGTTTAAGTAATATTTGGGCTTAGTGGAAAGTAAATATAATTCATTGTTCCTCTATTGAACAGAAGAAATTATTTAACCTAATAACTTCTGAAAACACTGAGGTTATTTCATCACAACATCAAACAGAAAATAACAACACTCAACACTAACTGACTGCTCATTTTACATAATTAAAGTCTCATCACCTTGAGAGTAATTCTAAATACAACATATCTAAGAGAATTGGATCCATTGACACAATTAAAGCAGAAACGTAATATTTTAGATAACATAAACAATTTTGAATCTTCGTGTCTTTACTGAACATTTAGATCTTGCTATTTAAAAAACACACCATTCAGCTCAACAGGGAGCAAGAAGCAAGACCAGTCAAGGTTCTCATTATGGCAGTGAGGGAGGCTATTCAGCATCTCATTCTGTGTATGGAGCTAAAGGCAGTGATTTCTCAAGACAGCATCATGATGAAGGTAAGTCCAGTTCTGATACTTGTTTAAAAACAATTTGCATAAAATTAACTTGTAACTAATTAAATGGAATGAGATGAATTTAAGAAAGGGGAAAACATTGGAGATTTTTCTGGACAATAAGTGGTATTACCAGTTATTAGACAAAGAAGATGATGATATAACAGGCACATGCTGAAGAGAAGTGAGAGAGAGACTTACAAATGGACTGAGGAAATGTGAACATCACATTATTTTCACCCAGATTAGGAAGGTTGGGGGGAAGACCCAAAGCTGACCTAAAACACCGAGATAGTCTAGATACTCGGATTAAACGAGAATCTTGAGATAGGTGATGACCACTAGTTATCCCGTTTACCACGAGAATGCGACCAAAGGTCGCCACGTGAAAGTAAAGGACCACCACGTGTCGCCACGTGAAACTAACCCGTGGTATAAGTCAGACTTGATTCTGGTCAAGTTTGGTTGGTGTCGACCTGTTGGAGAGAGAGGATGTGCGACTGAGTGAAAGAATGTCAACGTAAGAGTGCTTGTGGAGAAAGGAGACCCTGACGACGAAGTGTGAAGCCAAGATCGACCATGCCAATCTGTGTAATGGCCAGAACCTCAACGCGATTCATGGAAGCTGACTCTGGTCACTGAATGCATGAAGAACCTGCTCGTTGAAGGCTGCGTGAATTTGTGTGCGAGAGCTGTTTAGTAGGACAACGACAGGACTCTTCTGTAAGTGTCAGTATGCCAATAAACTCATGTCTCGTAAGCTTACATAGGTGTCGGCTTGTACCAGTTATGTAATGTGGAGTGTGTGAGAAAAACATTCATGACGCACACATGAACACCACCTAGACAACGAGAATATAAACACACCATTCATTACAGGATTCCACAAGATAGATTGGAATAGAAGAACAGACTGTGATCCCTGTTTGACATGTAAACAGCTAACAGGATGATGATGAATACAGAAAAGCTTATGGAGCCATTAGTTTTTTCTTTATTATAGTTAATTTTAAAGTTGATCCCCTCAAGTTTACAGACATCTTTTATTGAAAATGTCAGCTAAACAATTAAATACCAGATAAATTAGGAGATGAAATATGAGGTTGCAAGAACATTTGTCCATTAAAGCCTTCAGTCCTTTTCATGTCTAATGAATTTCATGCCCTATTTCTTTAATGTCTTATGTTCACTATTATGTCAATTGGCACTAACCTTGTCTACCTAAACCAGGCCTTAAGAAAGATACTTCTGTTTGTGAACCCACTGAGTTTTAGGTGACCAAAATATTAGTTTCCAAGACATAATACCATTTAGGAACAACTTTAAAAAAAAAATCCATATCATTTTAGAATGTCATTGTATTTGTATCTTCTTCAGTCACAGTATCATAACAAATCTTCTGTAAAATTTACTGTTTTTCATTCAGCTGCACTGCTTATGCCCACCCAGACCACACCCTGCCATCACTGAGCCAACTGTAATGACTATGTTGCTACCTATCTGAGAATGATCTTTGTCTCATTTTGACAGTGCCAGTACACAGCTATATAGCCATTCCTCCATGATCATTTCATTCTGGTTACTTCAGCATTGCAGTTAACTCTTTGACCAGGCCTTCCATGTCATAATGTGATATTTTGAAGTGATCATGTTGTTTATTAAAAGCTCTAGCATAATGTAATATTTTAACAAGTTAAACAATTTAGGTGTGAACATATTATTGTCTCCATATCTTTTCTAAAGTCAAGTTATTTATTTATTTATTTAACTGTTCAGTTCGCCAGAGAGCAAGTAGCACAGACACAGAAGGCTCTGAATATTACAGACAGGGTTCCTATTCAAAACAACCTTCTAAGTATCATGAGAAAGGTATATCCATTTTATTTTGATCATTTTTTAATAAACAAGTTGCAGAAGATTACCCTTTTCAAGTTCCATATGTTAATTACAGAGCCAGGGTGTCCTGTGTTTGGGATTTATTCAATTGTTTCATCTTTTATACATTTATACTGTTCAAAATTATTTAAAACATCAACATAATGTATAATGGCAGATCAGTTAAATGTTATTCACAAATATTTTGATCCATTTGAATTTTAAGAACTGTGACCATTTAAAGTGAACCTAGAGAAATGCCTCTTTGTAATTAAATCAGTGAACACGACAAAAACCTAGCTGTATTCATGTTGAATACTCAGATTAATCAGCATAATTTTAAGGAAACTCATGTCTTATTAATACTGTCCAACATTTCTCTTTCTGTATGTCTTAACCAGCTCTCTGTTTCAAAATGTTATTTCTGAATCTTAGCTTTCTTCCTTTTCTATAATATTGTATGCAAGCCACTGCTATGTAATTATTTAATTAAGACTGGCATTCAATGGGCATTTTCATAGAGACTAAAATGAGCTCCCTTCAAACTAAAATTTCAACCACTCTTTCTGCTGTTGTTGCATCTTCTCAAACATGTTATTTACAGGTCACAAAGATTATTATAACCAACTAGGCCTGTTGCAATGCAGTTATCTATTGCTATCTATGTAACCCCTCATGAACTAATTACAACAGCAACAAATATATAGTTCATTAGGTCTTCTATTTCATAATCTAAAAGTCTTTGTGGTTGGGCAAAAATGTTGGTGTGCATTTGTAAAGCCTGAATAGATGCTGCCTTGATGAAAGTTAAAAAAAACAACAGAAAAATCAAGTTTACTTCCAGGAGGCCACTGGGTCATGTAATAACCAAGTAGCAGGGTTTCTGTGATTAATTTTCCTTCCTGTGCCCACTGTAGCAGGGGAACGACTGCATGAGGCTTTTGGAATTTGACACTCTAATAACGTGAGTGAAAAAAAAATGTAGTATCCTTAGTATGCTATGCCCAGGACCTCACAGTACAGTTGTGAGTATGGCTCCTATTCTGAAGGATCCTTTTTTTTTAAACACCATTAGCACACCAAACATATGATGCTAGCCTCATATTTTTACAGACCAGTCCGCACTTGATGGATGATGTGCTTAACCTTGTGCCATCCTACTTTACTTTTCAGAACATTTCCTCCTTTTCATTATAGGTGGTGTCAACCTGAGTCTTCTTCTTCTTCTTCTTCTTCGTGTTCACCAGCTGTAAACTCTGGCGGAAAGTTTATCCAATTTTGGACTACAGTCTTGTTTCAGAACCTGAGCGTTGCTTGTGCATCCGTTTTACAGATTTGACTCATTTGTATGCAGACTGCTGGTTCCTTGCCTCTCAGGCAAATGACTCTCACTATAAAGGAAGCTCCAAATTAGTCGACTCTTACGAAATGCTTTTGGGTAGGCAGTGGGTCTGTTCTTTTTCCCCCCGGAACCCACACGGGAAAACCTGAGAGTCTGGGGCAGTTATTTTTAAAATCCACCTGTCCAGATTTGAAACCAAAACTTTTGGCCAGCAAGCAAGCATCTGCAGTCTTCTAGTCTGCATTAATCCACCTTTGCAATGTAAAAGTTATCATATGTATTGATGCATAGTTTTTTATTTTTTGGAAGAAACCTTCTTGCATTAGTATTTTTGTTTAATCTTGTTTTTTTTTTAAAAACCCCATAGAGCTGGCAGATGCCTGAGGAAATTGATAAACATTAAATGGGATGAGTTCAAGAAAGGTGAAGAAAAGAAATACCTAGACAATAGCTGCGATCAATTGTTAAAAAAATTCTTTGTGTTCACTGGCTGTAAACTCCAATAGACAGTTCTAGTAGTTCACTAGTTCACCCATTTCTGGACTTTAATCTTGTTCCAGAAACTGAGTTTTGAATACACATCAGTTTTACATATCTGGCTTATCTGAATACAGACCGTTGGTTCCTCACCTCTCAGGCAGAGGATCCACTCTGACTTTGAAAGAAACATCCCTAATTATTCAGCTCTCATGGCGTGCTTGTTAAGGGGCAGCAGGTTGATTCTCCCCCCCCCCCCTCTCCCCCATCCCAATGACCCCAGGAATCCACACAGGGAAGTTATAAGACAAATAAGAAGGTTGTATTTTTGGCACATCCAGAGTAGAAGCAACAAGAGAAAAACCAAACAGGCATGGGAATAGAAAACAAATAACAGTGACCCTGTGGAGAATGTTAATGGGAGAGGCCAAAAGGGCTGGCTTTGATTCATGAATGGTAATTAGAATTATGCACATTATAGAATGGTATAGGGAAACATATTGCAAGCCCTGTGTGATGAATAATGTTTTGTAATCTTATTCAGTTAACAACTACTACTTTTCTTCTTTATAACCCAGATGCCGGCAGCTCTGTTGATTTGGCCAAAACAACATGTGGAATATGTACTTTTGAAAAGCTTTGTTCTCCTCTGAAATGCTGTGGTAAATATATGTGCCAGGAATGTCAACAAAAAGTGGTAAACTGTCCTTATTGCCGTACATTTTGGAGTCTTTTAACTGGAAATCAGCCACCTGGTACAATGTCAGTTTATCTGAAGCATGTTTCTGTTACTGGGTACGAATCCTTCCCTACCTGGGAAATTGAATATTTCTTTCCTTCTGGAAATCAAAAGGTGAGACATCCTCAATGCAAGGATATATTAGTTATTTTGTGGTGTTTTCTCATTATGTGTCCTATCCAGCATTAACATCTTTTCCTCAGCTCTTAATTTTCTAGAATTTGTTTAGTCATCTCTAAGCTTTGGTGTGATCATTCTGTCATAACTGCTTTAGTCTTCTACATGTGTCTGAACTATACAGTGGCACAATTTCTTTTAAAGTTTAATATTCAATATTTGGCACTAAGTTGTAAATATTCTAGCAATATAAAGCTTCTGCTTTTTTTGCAATTTTTATTTTAATATCAGATTCTCTTCTTCCATTTTTTTAATCTTGGGGTTAATTAACATATTCACCATACAAAGTTTATTAATATGTATCTCTGAGACAACTTTATGGTCCACTGCCACTCCCTGTCTTCCCCAGACTGCTAGTTATTCTTTAGCTTACGCCATGCTATGGTAGCATTGGACTAGATGCTCACGAGCTGGACCAATGGTCTTGGGGTTGAACTCGCAATGAGGAAGATTTTTTTCACATTTGCCCTTGGTTCCCAAGTTGAATCAGCCAAAAATTGGTACTGGGTATTGACCTTGGATGTAAAAGTATTCTTCTGTGTGATGTTGACCACATCACGTACTGAGTGCAGATTGATCTGTAAAAATATGTCTAGCATCATATGCCCGATAGGCTATTAGCATACAAAAAGGACCCCCCTTCCCCCTTTTTTTAACATCATGCTGATTATTTACTGTGAGCAGTCTTTCAATATTTCAGGTATAATAACAGTGCATTGATCCACTTTTTTAATTAGCAAGCTGCTAATTTTATTTTCATGGACATACAAAATATCCTTCTGTGATCAGTATAAGTGAGCAGCAACCTTTAATCGTTACCTGATTTGCAATTCTCCCCATGTTATTTAGATTGTCAAATAATTTTAAATCTGTGTTTTCATCCATTAGGACAATCACCCAAATCCAGGAGAACGTTACACAGGAATGACTCGTACAGCCTATCTACCTGCAACAGATCAAAGCTTTCATGTGTTGAAACTTCTACGGCTTGCATTTCTTCGAAAACTGACTTTCACTATCGGCCGTTCTTTAACCAGTGGCAGAGAAAATTCCATTGTTTGGAATGATATTCATCACAAAACAAGGCTTAATGGTGGATTGTGAGTAATAATTTTTAAGACTGCAGAAAACTTACTTTCATCTTCTAAAGAAATGTGAACTCCTTTTATTTACTTCAGCTACATTTGTATGGTGAGCATGTCCATGTTTTGAATCTTTTGGAGCTGTTCCTGGTATCAGATCAGAACTGTTTGGAGCTTTTCCTGGCTTAACCAGCAGCCTATCATTGTTTGGGAATGCTGTTTTTGCAAGTCCTGAGAGTGTTTGAGCACCAGATGGAGAAGAAGAATACACCCTCTTATAGTGTCAGATCTGAATCTTTTGGAGCTTTCTTGGTCCAACTAGCAACGAATTTGTGTCTGCAACACCATTTCTACAAGTTCTAATAGTGTTTTAGCACCAGATGGTGAAGAATACACATCCTCTGATGGTATCAAATCTGAACTGTTTGGAGTTTTTCCTGGGCCAGCCAGCAGTGTATCTGCATCTGGAAACGTTGTTTTTGCAAGTTCTGATATAGTTTCAGCACCGGATGGAGAATAATACACCTTCTCTTATGCTGGCATTCTTTCGACCCAAAATTAGTGGCCAGCCACCTTAGTCAGCGAAAATACTACAAATGATAACTTAACACATTCCTCTGGCTCCAAGACTATTACATCAAGCCATAGCGCCTCATCAGAACTTACACTGTGGGCGACTCGGCTGGCTACTGTCTGTCAGTCACTGGAGGCAGGGTCAAAATTAAAGGGGATGTAGCTGTGTCTTGGCTTGATGGTCACAATGGTCATTGCTCTGGCAGCTGTTTAAGACCACTGTGTTGACATAAATGGGAAAAATGTCAGCACTGATGGGATGGCTACATTTTACAATGCTGTGGAACCTGGGTCATCGTTGCCTGTGTCTCAGGTTACGGAGACTTCATCAACAGCATCTTTTCCTGGCTGCCATTTGCTGTACCTTCTGTACACTTCCAGATCAGGGGTGGATCTACTACATCAAGAATGCCAGCATTGTTGTCACATTCTGTGAAATCGTAGTCCTTACTGACTACCTTCATCCTGATGCTGGTTTTTTAATATCTCTGGATTGGCCTGGAGAAGATCTTCCTCAATAAAAAACTGAAGACACAGAACAGTTAGACAGGAAAATGCAATATTGCATTGTACTCGTTGTGCCTTCTTCTGCTGTCTTTTGTCCATGGTTGGAGCATACACCCTCAGTCTACTCATGCGGGGTTGTTCAGTTAACTGTCATCACCTGCGGATCCTTCCACTCTGCCCTATTATTATTAATCTCTCTAATTATTTCCTTCTTGTCTGGTCTGGTAGTCTAAGTTTCAGCTTCATAGCAAACGGGTCACCCCATCTTTACTCCGCTCCTGTGCTAACAAAAAACACACAGAATGTTTATCACAGTCCCTTATAGAAAGATTGACAGACTGCTGTCTCAGCATATCTAGCATACAGTCGCATTAAAGCATACGGTAGCCATCCGAAGTGCTAACACAAACAGTCCAACATTAGAATTTTCAGTTTTCTTTTTTAAGTTTTATAGCCAGATTTGCATTCTGCAGGATTACAAGGGTGTGGGCACAGGTAAAGATTATAAAGTAACATGTAGTCCAGTGTAGCAGTGGATTTTTGTGACACAAAAGTTTTTAGATCGTTAGTCCAGTGTAGGTGGATTTTTCTCTTTTATATTGTATTTCTCCCTCTCCTCCTCCCTTTCTTCTCTCCCTCTCCTTTTCCCTCTTTCTTTCCCTCTCTCTGTTTGTCATATTCAGCATCAGTATGTTCCTCACCTCATCTAGAATTTTCTAGTTCTCTCCCAAGCTCCATGTTAGTGATTCTGTCCTATTATTGTGATTTTTTAGTTCTGCTAAGGCACCATTTATTGAACATTTGCTGTAGATTTTGATCAGTGATTGTTCTGCCAAATGATGATGTTTATGTGTTTTATTCAGTATCAGAATGGTTTCCATAATGTCAGTTTGCAACTCAGCTGAACTTTTACCTTCACAAAAGTGCATCATGATTATTGTGCACTAAAATACACAAGGATCAGTGATCCAGGGCTGTAAATGTTCAATCTCTCATGCAGTGGCACACACCAGCTGTTCTGTCTCAAGAGCTAGGTCTAATCCTATGAGTACTTATACTTATAGGGTGAAAGGGGCACACTTAGGTTGCAAGTTACTTGATCAGGAAATCCCTTCTACAGTCAAGACCGTTGTGCATGACCGAAGAGGCACAAAACACAACAGATCTAGAGGAGACAACCCAATTAAATACCCTAAACCTACAGTGGACTTACGGGCCTATGAGCTGAATGGCTGAATGACTGTAGGTTATACAGTAGTGAATGTGAAAGGTCTGGTTAGCGGGTGGGGCGGCGCCAGGCGAATGGACTCTGTCAGGACATGTTCTGCCTCTTCCCTAGCAAGCAGGCAATACTAGGGTGACCGTTTACTTCCTGCACTGAAAGATTATTTTCTATGGATTTTGTATTAAATAATAGAAAGAATCATAGCTGGAGCTAAGGAGTGCATGCTCTGTGCTTGATACAATCTTCAGGTGGCAACAGACAGAGTGGGAGGAGGAGAAGACGAGGAAATGGAGAGGGGAGAAGGCATAGAAATAGGAGAGCCGGAGCTCAAAGAATCAGACATAAACGGAGCTTCCTGGAATTAAAGCATATTAGAGTGGGTTACTGGAATTGTCGTAGAGCAAAGCAGAGAGGATCTGTACTGGAAAGACTGATTTATGACTTTTATATCATCATGTTGCAGTAATTAAACATAGATATATATGAGTGTCCTGGATACATTGTTACATAAATCCTACTGGACAGGTAAGACATGGACAGTGTCTGCTGGTGAAAAATGGGGTTATTGCTTTTGGACGGACAATATTAAATTTTCGCTGTATATTTATATATTATAGGTAAAAAAAGAACTGTTTATTTGTACTATATAAATCAACTCCTGGGGTAGGAGCCTGTCCTACTACTAGGCGCGTCCACCAGGTGGCGGATGGTGGAAAGGCCTGTAGATATAGAGGTTAGCCACGAATATATTGAATAAGTGGCCGTGGACCAAAACAGGTGATGGTCATTGAGAGGAGGCGAGTTAGTTGGTGGGACAGCTAACTCTATAAAATACCTCAAAACTCTACGACATGGCCATCGGCGAGTAAGAGGCGCCATAACCTCTCCCCCCTGCTGCCTTGCAGGGTAAGTCTTTTTAGACAAAGGCTATTGGAGTCAAACCATATACAAACCGGCGGAAGGCAAGGGGAAACCACCGCTGTACTATCCCAAGAAAATCATGCCTCAAAATAATACGTATTCAGATAACGACGTGAATGGGGATTCCGGTGGAATCACCTCGTCCGGTAGGGAGCATCATGTTCTACGGGTGATACCCGACCGTCATCCAGCTACTGTAGAAAAAGTAAATGGTAGAAACATCATGAACATTGGTACATGGAATGTCAGAACACTCGTACTAAACGAAAAACTGGATAACATCAAGATGGAAATGAAGAGAATGAACATCAACATACTAGGAATTAGTGAAATGATATGGCCAGGAGCAGGGGAAAAGTTTTCAGATCAGCACAGAATTATCTACTCGGGTGGGAAGGAATATAGTAAGGGAGTTGGTATTATTTTGGATCCAAAGAACTCAAAAACTGTTTAAGGATTTAACAGATAGAGTACTATTAGTAAAACTTCGCGGCAGACCGTTTGACATCAACTTAGTACAGATTTATGCCCCAACAGCAGATAGTTCAGAGGGAGATATTGACGCATTTTATGACGAGTTAGACATGGCTGTGGATCAATGCAAAAATTGTGAAGTAATAATGGTACTTGGAGATTTCAACGCAAAAGTAGGAAGCGAAAAAGTGTACGGAATAACGGGTGGCTATGGACTAGGAGAAAAGAATGTGAGAGATGACAGATTAATAGCATGGGCTGAGTCGCGCAACATGATAATTGGTAACACCTGGTTTAAACACAATCCTCAAAGATTGTGGACTTGGAAAAGTCCTGGTGATAATGTCCGCAATCAGATTGATTATATTTTGATTTCAAGAAGATTCCAGAGCAGCTTAGAGCAAAAACTAGACCAGGAGCAGAATGCTTTAGTGACCGTGTTCCAGTTGTAGGAAAAATTAGAATAAAACTAAAGAACATTAGAAAAACACCACAGAACATCAAGTTAAATTTAGGAATTCTTAGAATGGATAAAGAAATTAAGGAACAGTACAACGTCACTTTACAAAACCGGTTTAATGCAATGGAAATTATACAGACTATTGATGAACAGTGGGATATGTTGCGTGAGTCAATTCAGCAGAAATCAAAAGAGACAATCCCACCAACCCATACAGTTGCAAAAAAGAAATGGATGTCAACCGAAATTCTGCAGTTGATGGATGAAAGAAGGAAGAAAAAGAATGATAAAGAAGAATACTCTAGAATGCAAAAAGAAATAGTGAACAAATGCAAAGTGACTAAAGAAGCCAGGCTGAATCAAATGTGTACAGAGATTGGGGAAAATCACGGGAAAGACTCACATTCCATGTACCAACAGATAAATATGTTAACAGGAAAGATGACACGTAACAGCACTGGATGTTTGAAATCAAAGGATGGTGACTTATTAATGGGACATAGTAATATAATTAACAGATGGACAGAGTATATAGGGGAATTGTATGATGATAATAGACCAGACGTAGAACTGCAGACCAACAATGATGGTCCACCAATATTGACTGCAGAAGTTGAGGATGCAATACATCATATGAAGAAAGGAAAAGCACCCGGGCCAGACAACATCTCACTGGAAGAAATCGAAGCACTGTGAAATTTTGAAATTGAAATAATAACTAAACTTTTAAATGATATTTATAACAGTGGGTATATTCCAAATGACCTTTTAAAATCCATATTTATAGCTCTGCCAAAGATACCAGGCACTTTAAAATGTGAAGACCATCGCACAATAAGTCTTATGAGTCACATGACT